TCCCTCTAAAAGCTTAGTCTTTCAAAAGATTGAAGTAGGTTGTGAAATGTTCCCACCTGGCATGAAAGGAGGTGAAGTAAGTGGCTATTTAACCCCATGGTAGTCTCATCTACTGATACTAGTCCTTTTTGAGTACTCAGGGCTTGAAATAATCAACATTTATTATGCCCGATTATATATTCCTATGCTAAATATGCTAAGCTTGTTTACATGGATTAATTTACATCATCTTTATATTCACCCTAATAGGTACTATATTTCCACTTTACAGATGAGGAAACTGAAGGACAGAAGAAGGTAAGGACCTTGAGGTGGTAGTGCCCGTCAAGCATATGAGAGCCTGCTAAGCAAGCTGAGGCCCTGATTCAAACCCAGTACCACCCCAAAAAAAAAAAAAAAGTTAAAGACCTTGCTAAAGGTCATGGAGTAGAGGAGGTAAGATTCAGATTTAGGGAACCTGCCTAGAATCATGTTGTTGTTGTTGTTGTTGTTTTTTTTTTTTTTTTTTTTTAAGGCAGGGTCTCACAATATAGCCCTAGCTATCCTCAAATTCGTGATTCTCCTGCCTCTATCTCCAGAGTACTAAGAGAGTCTGTGCTCTTAAATGATCTGATGTGCTGTATTGAGTTTGGAAGGGACCATCTTGACCAACCTCCTGCATGTGTAGAACTTGACAGAGTAGTGTTTCCTTGATCCTCACTGCTTACAGAGCTTCTCTCATTCCTGAGGGGCTCCTGAGACTAGATCGGCTATCCCTAATACTGAGCAGGAGTTGGTGAATGAGGCAGTAGTTCCCTTTTCTACAGTCCCAGATGAATCCAACTCTGACCTTCATCAGTGGGTGATCTAGCCTCTTTGAACATGTTTCTTCATCTGTAAAGTGAAAATATTGCTTCATGGGATCAATTAGGGGATTAAGTAAGATAACGTACTTAGCAGCTTCTGGCTGTAAGTACGTGCTTAATAAGTGTTAGCAATTTTTATTATTGTCCTTTAACCTTGAGCAAACCAGGAAACAATTTCTCAGAGACCAGATTCTAAGACTTAGGTAGGTGGGCAGTTTTCTTTGGTTTTGACAAGACAATAATCTTATTCTATGTATTTCTCTTGACTCTTTTGGTGTGAAAAGCAGAGAGGTAAAGCATTATTTGACAGATGTATGGATTCAAGCAAGAAACTGAGGTCCAATTGCAAGGAAATGCTTGTATAACTCTGAGCCCTGTCTGAGGAGACACAGAGGACCCTAGAGGGCGGAGAATGAACACAGCGCAGGGGCTAGTTCCAGAGTCGCACCTTCGGTTAGTTGACTTACAAGTGTGGGTGAGGGTCCCTTGTCAGTAGGCAGATTTTTCCCCCTCTGCTCCAATACATACCTACTGGCTCATGTTTACTACAACATTTTTTTCTTGATGTGAAAGAGTTTATGACTTGTCTAAAATGGAGAGGCAAGGGGGCTCTGTAACTATAAGCTTTCTGAGCCCCTTTTCCTACTTGTTCCTGTGTCACACTTTCCTAAAGGCTTGTTTGCCAATGGTTGCTCCTCAGATCTCAGGGTTGGTTCACTGTGTAGGCTCCAAACCAAAGTCGTGATGCTGCCACCACCACCGACACCACCACCACTGCTGCTGCCACCAGTTACTCAGAGTTTCCTGCCATAAGAAAGTGATCTGCTGTGAAGCTTTCTCCCTCTTCCTTTGTTCTGTCTTTGGTGTTGTACCTCTCTCCTGGTGCTTTTGCCATGCATCCAGTGTTCCATAAAATTTTTAGACACCAAAGTTATAGACCTTACTACCCCTCCAAAGAGATGAGTTAGTCATGGAAAAGAAGGTAACAGAGAGGGCTTCTATGCCACTGTGCTACAGAAGGAAGAATTTGCTTCTTGTTAGTGTCAGGGAGCTAGGTAGGAGACTTGCTCAGACTGATGACAGTATGCTACACAACCTCTGGAGGAGTAATTGGGCCTCGCCTGCCCAAGGACAAAGACCCAGCCTCCTGGAGCCAAGGCTGAAGACCAACTTCACTTTCTTCCACTCCCCTGCCCTAAACTTAAACTTGCTTTGCTGCACTGCCCCAAGTCTGTGGCTTAAAACAGCCATCTCCTTTTGTTGATGAATAAGCTCACTCTTTATAAAATGTTTCAGCTTGGGGACTGGAAAGGTTCTCTGTACCTTCCGTCTCTCTGTATTTCTCTAAGAATTGATGTTGATAGCTTCTGTTTTCTTTGCAGGGAACTCTAATGATCCATGACAAAGAGGTTACCCTTGAGTATGTACCAAGCCCAGATTTTTGGTACTGCAAACGGGTAAGTACCAAGAACTCTTTTCTTCATAAGTAATCCTGCATAGCAGGTTTTCCATATCTCTAAGAATGCTCCCCATTAGAATACATTTCTAAAGACCAGGCTCTGCTTCTGGGTTTACATGAGTTGAACTGGAGTTCAGGATAAGACCACCTATAATTTCTGTTTTCCGATATTGCATAAGGTCATAGAGCGTTCTGGGCCTGCACTGGAGATACTCTCCCAAGGTCATGTGCCATGCTTTTTGTTGATTATGAAAAGAATAACAATTCCTTGACTTACAATCTCTTTTCAGTTATTCTTCCTGGGAGTGGTCATAAGACAGTTGATGTTTGGAAAAGTGGCTTTGGAGAGGCTAGTTCTGTGGAAGTTGTAGATTTATTTGCATGTTCTGGGGTTACCAAGGATATAGAACTTGTCATGAGGACATTTAACCTCTGTTAAACTACATATTCTTTGAGAATAGTATATTTAAAAATTTGGAGTTACACTCTTATTAGAGGTCCAGTTTGATTGCAGTGGACTGAATATACAGTTTCAGTTTTCATTGCTACTACTTCACTTAAACATAATTATAAAAAATTAGATCAGGTCTCTACTCCCATTTCCTGCATGGGGGGGAGCAGGAAATGTTTCTCCTTTTTCCCCCATTTCTCCCCATTTTTATCCTGTTATACTAAATTCCTTTTGTAATAAACTTTGGTATCATTTTTCATTTAAAAAAAAAACCAAAAAATAAGAAGAAAAGAAAGGAAGAAAGAAAGAAAGGCCAGCCCAGGCAAATAGTTTGTGAGACCCCATCTCCAAAATAACCAGAGCAAAATGGACTGGATGCATGGCATATGTGGTAGATAAAGAGCCCGCTTTATAAGCACAAAGCCCTATGTTCAAATCCTAGTCCCACCTAAAAGAAAAAAAAAAGTATAAAAAATTTATAAGATTTCTGAATCATTCATTAAAAGTATTACAGGATGTGACAAAATTCAGTGAAAATTTGTAGTTTGACATGCTTGTTAGTCTCAAATAAACCTTGGATGGGTATGATTGTCATTAGCCAAAGCATTCATATTTCATAGATTAAAGTATAATTTTAAAAATCATTTAACTTTTTTTTGTGGTAAAATAAACAGTACATAAAATTTACCATTTTTGCCATTAAAAACATAATTCAGCGGCATTAAGTACCTTTTCAATTTTGTATACCCATCAACACTATCTAATTCCAAATCAAAAACCTTTGTTTTTGTTTTAGGGTTTTTGTTTTTGTAGGGCTGTGTTGGGGATCAAACTCAGGGTCTTAGGTGCTTCTGTACCAGTGAGCTATATCCCTACTCTCCAGAACTTTTAAATCACTGAAAAGGATTCCGGACATTCATATAAATGGAATTAAAAAATGTAGCATTTATTAGTTCTTCTTTCCTTTATATGGCTGAATGTTATGTAGGTGTACACCACATTTTGTTCATTCATTAGTTGATGAATATTTGGGTTGTTTCTACCTCTTTTTTAGCTTGTTTGCCTTTTTATGTCTTGTTTTTTTGAGGCAGAGTCTTGCTATGTAGCCCAGGCTGGCCTCAAACTCAACCATCCTCCTGCCTCTTGAGTGCTGGAATTACAGGTGTTCACCACCATGCCCAGCTTCTACCTCTTCACTATTGTGAATAATAGAACCTTTGTAGTTTTTGTTTAAACACCTGTTTCCAGTTCTTTTCGGTAGGTACTCAGGAATGGAATTGCTGGGTCAGTGGTACTTTTATATTTAACTCTTAGAGGAAGTGCCAAACTGTTTTCCATAGATTACAGCTGCACCATTTTACATTCTCACCAATAGTGCATAAAGAGCTTCAATTTCTCCACATCCTTGGCACAATTTGTAATTTTGCATCAGTGATGATAGCCATCCCAGTGCATGTACTAGTATTTCATCATGATTTTGATTTGCATTTCTGTAGTGACTAGTGACTTTGAGGATCTTTTCATGTGCTCCTTGGACATTTGTATATCTTCTTTGGAGAAATGTTCAGTAATTCCTTTGCCCTTTTCAAATGTAGCTAAAAAACCATTGTCAAATCCAAGGTTTCTGAAGCTCTACCCCTGTGTTTTCTTTGAGAATTTAACTCTTATGTTTAGGTCTTTGATCTGTTTTAAAGTGTTTTGTTTGCTTGTTTTTAGGGTCCTGAGGGTCAAACCTGGGGCCTTGCACATGGTAGGCAAGCACTCGACCAAGTAACATCCCCAGTCCAAGTTAATTTATTTTATATAGGGTGAAGTAAAGTTCTTACCTTATTGTGTAGCATATGAGATAATCAGTTGTCACAGCACCGTTCATTAAAGAAGCTATTCTTCATTGAATGGTCTTGGCACATTTTTCAGAAATTCATTTACTCTAAATCTAAATCCATTAATCATAAATTTTATTCTTTTGATTTGCTTGTTTATCCTTATGCCAGTACCTTGGGTTTTTTGTTTGTTTGTTTTGATGATTGTGATTCTGCAGAAAGATTTGAAATAGGAAAGTGTGAGTCCCCCATTTTTGTTGTTCTTTTTAAAGATTGTGTTGACTATTCAAGGTCCCTTGCAATACCATATACATTTTAGTTTTCTTGTGGTCCTGGAGTTCAAACCCAGGACCTGAGCATAGTAGGCTAGAACATTACCACTGAATTATATTCCCACCCCTCCATAGAATTTTTTTTTTTGCAGTACTGGGGCTTGACCTCAGAGACTACACCTTGAGCCACTCCACCAGCCCTTTTTTGTGATGGGTTTTTTTTGAGATAAGGTCTCCTGAACTGTTTTCCCAGGCTGGCTTCAAACTGTGATCCTCCTGATTTCTGCCTCCTGAGTAGCTAGGATTACAGGCGTGCGCCACCAGCACCCAGCCCCACCACTCTTTTCCTAGGCAACAAGCTATAGACCAATATCGGTCTACAGGCACTACCTGTACATCTTCCCTCCCCCATCTTGTTCCTCATTATCACTGAGATTTTTTTCTTGGTGTGTGTGTGGAAAGGAGACTGAGATTTGAACTCTGGGCTTCATGCTTGCAAAGCAGGCGGTCTACCACTTGAGCCATGCCTCCAGCCCATTTTGCTGTGGTTATTTTGGAGATGGAGTCTCATGAACTATTTGCCTGGCCTGGTCTTGAACTGCGATCCTCCAAATCTCAGCCTCCCAAGTAGCTAGAATTACAGTTGTTAGCCACCAGCATCCAGCTTCAGTATCAGTATTTGAGAAAGGAGTTGGTAATTGAATTCTCAATTCCAGCCAAATGTGAAAGAGGAGCTCATAACCAAGATACAGACTGCAATGGCAATGGCTTTGGGGCAGTAGTATCCTTTAAGCAATCTGATAATTCAGTTTCCTGAGTTTATTTTATTCCCTATAAAAATCTCTATTCAGGACAAGGGTATTGTGAGCTGCTCCAAAGTCCAGATTCTTTTTTTAGAAGGTAGCTCTCATTAATGCTCATTTAGAAGGTAGCTCTCATTAATGCTCATTAGCTCTCACAGTGCTCATTACCTCCTTCCTATCTGCCAATGTTGATAAATAAGAGACTATCAGATTCTTTAGATTTGAAGGGAACTTGGTATATGGCTTGTTTCTTTCCTTTTTGGCAGGTGTTACTGCATTTAATATTCATAAAGTTTTTAAAAATGTTTTTGGTCAAATTGAATTTCTTCCTTTTGTCTTTCAGTGTAAGACCAGCATTGGTGGTCATCAGTCTTCATGTTCATTCTGCAAGTGCCCAAGGGAAGGTAAGCAGTAGAAGTGGTGGATTTTACCTTATTCACTAAACAAAAATACCATTTTTCCTTGGCTTTAAAAAGTTGACAACCCTAAAAACAAGTAGATCTGTAAAACTTAAACAAAACAAAACAAAAAAATACTTTTAAAAGTACAATTCCCTGCCCACTTCATGTGACCCATTAGTAAACTCTTGGGGTATGAGTTCTACCAGTGGAAAAATAGGATTACGGGCTCTTTTGACTAATATAGCTAATTGGGCAGCTGAGTCAATAATACTGTTATTTAGAATGCATTTAAGGATGTTAGGTTGAAAAAGTCTATGTAGTATCAGTGTACTTGACCAGTAGTACTCTCCTATATATACTTCTTAGAAGTTCTTGAGAATCATTTGCTGTATTGTTTTCTCTTTATATGGTCTTTGTAAATCTTTCAGGATCTTCAACCACAATAAAAAAATAAAATAACAGTGAATAATAGTAAAAATATAAACAAGAAAAAAAATAAGGATTTGGGGAATTTGTTATTAAAGAGGAATAAACCTACCTGCTTTCCAAGCACTTTTTAAAGTTGATTCTTACTGACATATAATAATTGTATGTATTTATGAGATACAGAGTTACAATTTAATACATGTATACAATGTGTAATCCTTAACTTTAAAGTACCTTTTTTCATAGAACCTTTTTACGTAAACATCTTTAAAAAGTCTATCAAAGGCATCCTTAACAATAGTATTATAGTTATAAGTATTATATGCCTAAGTATAAGTATTATACTATCCCTAAGGAAATCAGGGTATGACCATATATTACAATTCAGTGCTAGGATTCAGATAGTCTTTGTTTTGTTGTGTTTTTGAGACATGGTTTTGCTACATAACTCAGGCTGGCCTTCTGTTGGGATTATATCTTCCTGAGTGCTAGTGTATACCACTATGCATGACTTGATGTCTTCCTCCCTCCTTCCCTTCCTTCTTTCCTTCCTTTTTAGATGGGGATTAAACCCAAGGCCTTGAAATGAAAGCCTTTTATTACAATGCTGCATCCCCAGTCTGTGTCAGGTAGCCTGATGGATTTGTTCTGAGGTTAGAATTTACCATGCATAAAAGAGTTTTTTAGTTGGACTTCTGCCTTGTAGTGGAAATTCTACTCCCTAATGAGAACTTTAAGGCAGATATTCTGAAAATCTTTGGCAGAAGTCTCCATATTCTGTAGTCTAAAACAACATGTGGGAAGGAGAGTAAACAATTAACATGATTTTTTTGCTTGTTAAGCCACTTCAGATTAGACAGAGTTGTGCTTTTTCCCTCAAAAAAGACTTCTTAAACTATTTTTGTTTGTTTTTGATGATACTGGGGTTTAAACTCACGGTTTCATGCTTGCTCGGCAGATACTCTACCACTTGAGCCACTCCCCCAGCCCTGTTTTGTGTTGGATATTTTCGAGGTAGAGTTTTGCAGACTATTTGCCTGTGCCGGCTCCTGATCTCTGCTTCCTGAGTATCTAGGAATACCAACATGAGCCATCAGTGCCCAGTTCTTAAGCTGTTTTAACAAATTTTTCTTCTGTACTGAGAATTGAACCCAGGCAAGTGTTCTGCCAAGACCCGTAGTCCGTTTTATATTTTTGCTGGAGACAGGGTATAACTAATTTGCTCAAATTTGCCACCACTTGTAATCTTCCTGCCTTGTCTCTTGAGTAATTGGAGGCTGCACCTAGCCTTACATTTCTTCCTTTGTTTGTGGTACTGGGATTTGAACTCAGAGTCTCACACTTGCTAGTAGGCACTCTGTCACCTAAGCCACCACTCCAAGACCTTATTGCTTTAGCTGTTTTTAGTGTAGGGTCCCCCCCGGCCCCCCACCCAGGCCAACCAGGGCCTAATCTTCTATCTGTGCCTCCTGATTAGTTGGGATAGTAGTTGTGCATCATCACATCACTGCACCCAGCTTCTTTATTGCACTGGAGTCTTGTCAACTTTTTACCCAGGCTGTCCTCAAAGTACGATCCTACCAACCTCTGCCTGCCAGTTGACTGGGATTACAGGCGTGAGCCACTGCTCCCAGCCCATTTGTTTTTCTTGATACAGGGTCTCGCTATGTAGCCTAGGCTGCTCTGGAACTTGCTGTGTTGCCCAGGCTAGCCTCAAACTCATGTTTGTCCTGCTTCTGTCTCCTGAGTGCTAGGATTTACATTTCTTATTGTTGGTTATAATAATCAAGTCTAGCAGGGTGTCATAATGAATTTGGTATATTTAAGCATTTGATAGGTGATTGATACCTCATAAGATTAATTTTAAATGCTTGGATAACTTCTGTGAACTTTTTCATGTGCTGTCTCATTAGCTTTTCTAAAGTCTTTTCTCAGTTGTCAGAGGCCTTTTTTTGTAGGTATTTCTGTGATAATATTGAAGATATTCCATTGAGTATTTGATCTCAGGTAAAGGAGAATTAGAGTAGTGGTGTTTTTTGATAAAATTTTTTATGGGTTCTCTTTCTGTTTGTGTTTCCCTGCTGACAGAGGTGAAGCAAGAATTAATAACTTACCCTCAGCCTCAGAAAACATCCATACCAGCACCATCAGAAAAACAACCTATCCAGCCCCCACGACCAAGTGATAGAGAACCTGAATCCAGGAAACGGGAAGAAGGACAAGAACCACGCTTAGGATATCAAAAGAGAGAAGTAGAAAGATACTTATCTCATTCTCGAAGAGAAGGGCTTAATTTCCGAAGAGACCGAGAGAAGGAGCCATGGTCTGGAGAGACACGGCAGGATGGAGAGAGCAAAAGTAAGTGGTTTGTTAGGGCATGTTATCAGAATGTGGGGAGCATAGATGGTTCATGTTGTGGCTCCTAGCTATCTTAATAGAACTGTGTGTAGCCTGGTTATAAAGGTCATTGCTTCCTGTTGACTTTACTAGTTGAAGGAATCTACATCCTCCAGATAGCAAATTGCTGTACAAATTTAGTGCAACATGATCTTAGATTTCTAAGTATTGGTGAAGAAAAGCAGGAAGTACTTGTCTACTGTTTCTTTATGGAACCAGCCTTGCTAGAGCAGAGTAGCATCTAGAGTTGATGGCTCATGCCTATAATATTAGCTACTTGGGAGGCTGCAGTCAGCAGTATTGCAGTTTGAGAACAGCCCAGGCAATTAGTCTGTGAGACCCTATCTCCAAAATAACCAGAGCAAAGTAGACTAGTGGTATAGCTCAAGCAGTAGAGCACCTGCTTTGTAAGTGCAGTGTCCTGAGTTCAAACGCCAATCTCACTCCCTTCCTCCTCCCCCCAAAAAGATTAGGATCTTAGAACTTCAAATTTTTATTTTTCTGTCTTTCCTTACTCCTTTTCCATTTGTGCTTGGTTCATTCAGCCATCATGCTAAAACGCATCTATCGTTCTACTCCACCTGAGGTGATAGTGGAAGTGCTGGAGCCCTATGTCCGCCTTACTACTGCCAATGTCCGTATCATCAAGAACAGAACTGGTCCCATGGGCCATACCTATGGCTTTATAGACCTTGACTCCCATGCGGTGAGTTTTCCCCACCTTGTAGTGGTCTAGATTTGGATAGCTAAAGAACTCTTTGCTTCCTGGCTTTCACCTGTGTTTCCCTTCCCTAACGTTTAATAAACTCCATTTACACCCAAAAAAAAAAAAAAAAAAAGAACAAGAACAAGATATAAAGAAACTGTGTATGTGGTGGCACACAACTGTAACCCCAGCATCCAGGAGGCTATAGTGAGACCCTGTCTCAAAAAAAAAAAAAAAAAAAATCTCTCTTTTGGGTCTGATGTTTATTCAAGTAAGGTGACTATCCTTAAAAGTTAGAACTCTGAACCAGGTGCTGATGGCTTATACCTGTAATTCTAGCTACTTGGGAGGCTGAGATCAAGAGGATCATTACAGACCAACCCAAGCAAAAAACGTTCCTGAGACCCCATCTTAACAGAAAAAATCTGGGCGTGGTGGTATATGCCTGTCATCATTGCTGTGGTGGGAAGCAAAAATGATAGGTTCATGGTCCTGGCTGGCCAGAGAAAAGTGAGACCCTATCTCCAAAATAACCAGAGCAAAAAGGGTTGAAGGTGTGTCTCAAGCAGTAGGTTACCTTCCAAGCATGAAGCCCTGAGTTCAGACCTCAGTACAGCCAAAAAAAAAGTTGGAATTCTATGTAGTTTTCCAGATTAACTTTTGTCTTGTGGCATTTATAGTGAAGAATCTGAGTATTGAATTCATGAGGACTTAGTGAATTTTTTAAATTCCTTAGACTTTGTATCCAGCCACAGATAGTTTTATTTTGATGATAAAAAGACATTTCCTCCTTTTTCCTCAAAGTATTTAATAGGTTCTTGAAGCTTGAATTTTTATAGTTGTGGTGCTCTTTTCTATAGAAATAATGGGAACATACTAATGAAAATCATTGATATTTCTCAGGTGTCTTTAAAAATCACAAGTGACTTTGTAAACTGGATCTGATGTGATGACAGTTGGAGCCTGGAAAAGGGATTTGCACTACTGAAATGTGTACTAAAAAGTGATGTTCACTATGCTCTCTATTCTAGTCCTTTATTAAGAGTTGCTGTGTGTGTGTGTGTGTGTGTGTGTGTGTGTGTGTGTGTGTGTGTGTGTACACCCTCTTAACATTAAAATTATGACCAGAACATTATATTTCTAAATTCTCATCTGAGAAGGAAAATCCACATTCAATCTCTTTTTGAGAATGTGGCCTTTTCTCTCTGTGAGTTCAAGTATATCTTTGGTTTCCTAGGAAGCTCTTCGGGTAGTGAAGATCTTGCAGAATCTTGATCCACCATTTAGCATTGATGGGAAGATGGTAGCTGTAAATCTTGCAACTGGAAAGCGAAGGTAAGGTAGAAGGATAAAGATCCCTTGTGACACCCTCACTTCAGTTTCTGGAAAGAAACTTCTTTTCTGGTTTGAGAGACAGCAGGGCGTGGTGTTTTTGTGGTGGGGGTTAATTCAGATATATGCTTATATTCTTTTTTTGTAGCCTGACTGTTCTGACTCTAGAATTGTTTTCTTTCTTAAATAGTACTACTAGGTACTTCAGGCTTTCCCTTTTGACCATGTGTTATCTTTGAGTCCCAAATGATGGTATATTATTGAATGTGCAGAAAAGAATCTTGATATATCTTTGCCCCTTGTAATCCTAAGTAAGTGCTGTCCTGACATACCCCCACAGCAGGAAATTCTAATTCCTCGTTACTCCTTTACTCATCTTGACCAAGGAACAGAAACTGGGAAATGGCTACATCAGAGACAGACTTACAGAGATGGGGCAGTTCTTACTCAAGTACCTTCCACTCAGTTGCTGTTTTGCTCCAGCAGATGGCTTTGCAGGAGTTCTACTGCTGCTCCCCTCAGGAGTGTCTGGATCACCTAACCTGCATGCTGTCTGGCTGATTCCTTTTTCCGCAAAATGGGGAAGAGTTTCTCAGTGAATCTGTAGGATTCTTCAAGTACCTTTTGGTAGCAAGCTCTTGATATGTTGTATTGTTTGTTGCAGAAATGATTCTGGGGACCATTCTGACCACATGCATTACTATCAGGTAGGCTTTAACAGGTGGGGAGTACTCTGTTAAAATTCTCAGATGAGAGTTTATGGAGTGGCTGAAGTGGAAGAGTGCCTGCTTACCAAGCTCAAGGCCCTGAGTTCAAACTCTAAGTATTGCCCAAAGAAACCCAAAATTAATTAAATCCTCACATGACTAAATGGGTGATTTTTTAAAATTTCTTGCAGTGAATGACTGTTAAAGTTAGTGATTGTTGTGTAATTTTAACTTGCTTTTCTCTGATAGGGTAAAAAATATTTCAGAGATAGGAGAGGAGGTGGCAGAAATTCAGATTGGTCTTCAGATACAAATCGACAAGGACATCAGTGTAAGTAACCTGCTTACACTGTGTTTTATTTCTCCTGTTTTTTGTTGTTGTTGTTTTTTGTTGACTTACTACTCATCACCTGAAATCTTTGTGATCACAAAATTAACAAAGAGAGGCTGTTAAGAGAGTAGAGAGACCACCATGTATGGATTCTGTATCTGTTTGGGTTGGCCACCATAGTTATGGTCTATTCTTGGTGAGTCCCCAGTAAGAGCTTCATTGGATAGCACTAATACTGGCTCTGGTTTTATTCCCTGTAGCATCATCTGACTGCTACATATATGATTCTGCTACTGGCTACTATTATGACCCCCTGGCAGGAACTTATTATGACCCAAACACCCAGGTGAGTTTTTGGCTTTGTTTACTCTTGTCAGTGATCCTTTTGAGAAAAGCATCTTAATTTGTCACTTTACAGGATTTTATTCCCTGGTTTTTCTGGATGCTTATTGTATAAACAGTGGAAAAGTTTAAATCTATGGAATTTGAAATCTGAACTGTTCCATTTATGGGAAATTAAGAATAGTGCTGCTCTTGGAATAGTGGAAAATGGGTGGTCTGTATATGTGCTGACCCCTGGAAGAGATTCTTTATTTTTTTGGTGGTACTGGGGTTTGCACTCAGGGCCTCGTGCTTGCTAGGCAAGCACTCTATCACATAAGCCACTCTGCAGCCCATGGAATGGATTCTTAAATTGATATGGACTCTTTGACTTATTAGTAAGAACTCTTTTCCCTAGAAGAGAACTATGCTCTTTCGACCTGGAATTGTGAGAAGGTGAAACATTCTGTAGACTTACTTCTTTCCAACTGTATCACAGCAAGAAGTATATGTGCCCCAGGACCCTGGCTCACCTGAGGAAGAAGAGATCAAGGAAAAGAAACCCACCAGTCAAGGAAAGTCAAGTAGTAAGAAAGAAATATCTAAAAAAGATAGCAAGGAGAAAAAAGACAGAGGAGTGACAAGGGTAAGAGGACTTGTGAGTCTGCTAACTTTTACCACACAATTATAGATCAAAATGTAGGTGTCAATGACAGGAAATCTAAGTTTGAGATGTACAATTACTTAAAAAATACTCTAATTACCTAGTATAGAAGTCCCTTTGCTTCTTATAGCCACATGGTAACTGTCTCCCTTTTACAAATGAGAAAACTGGATGGTAAAACAAAGTTACTCAGTTTCAATGCTAGCATCTCAGCTCCATATACTTTCATTTTTCTTCCTTCCCTTTTTAGTGCTTGACTCTGTATACACATTTCTCTAAGTATAATTGTATTGGGATATCATTTTGTACTCTTTATCATGTCCTAATTTGTCATAAATTTTTTTATGTTTTTATAATCTTTATTATTTTCAATGCTTGTATGGTAAAAATTCACATTTAACTGTATTTTCATTTTCTTCATCAGACCTTCATTGTTTGTCTCCTTTTCTAATCTTATATTGTCATGATATACAGCATTTAGCATTTCGCTTTTCCTTTTAAATGAGTTCCTTGGGATAAATTTTCAGAATCAGAGTTGGAAAACATTTTAATATCTTATATAAAATCAAATTATTTTCTGAAGAATTACATTGATTTACCCTCATACCAGTTATGCATTAGTGAAAATTGATGAATTTTCTTTTGGCTCAATTTATAACTTTTTTTCTCCTTCTGGTACTGCTAGTTGTTTAACTAGATACAGAAAAAGAATCATATTGGCTTTATTTTTGGTTCTGCTTCTGTCTGTCCCTTAATCTTTCTAATCATATTCCTGATCATTTGCAAAATGAGGATATTAATGTCTATCTAGGAGAGTTACAGTAAAAGCTGAAGGAGATAGTGGCATCTGTTGCCTCACACATAGTAATCATGTAATGTATACTAAACATAATGTTGGGTTTTATTTGTTCACTTATTGTCTTGGATATTGAACCCAGGTCCTTGCACAGGCTAGACAAGTAGTCTGCCACTGAGCTACATGCCCCCCTCAATGTTATGTTTTTCTTTTCTTTTCTTTTTTTCTTTTTAGTGATATTGTTTTGTTTTTGCAGTGCTGGGGATTGAACTCAGTCTTGTACATGCTAGGCAAGAATTTTACCACTAAGCTACATCCTCAGCCCCCTAAATGTTAGTTTTTAAAGGTTTTGTATTTCAAAATCACTACAACAACATTACCGATGTTTGAAGGTTCAGAAAATCAGCCTCATGTCAACAGGGTTAATGCTTAACTGAGTTCTTATGAGTAAATATCATATAAGGTTATCTTGGGGTTTGATCAGTTTCAGGAAAACACCAGTGAGGGGAAGGCCTCCCCAGAAGATGTCTTTAAGAAGCCCCTGCCTCCCACTGTGAAGAAGGAAGAGAGTCCCCCTCCAGTAAGACTAATGCTGATACTATGAGCTAGAGCTGGGTCTGGTCTGGGTAGGAAAGGAACCTCAAAGGTTAATGTCTGATGTTGGTCCTTTCACTCTCTATGTCTCACAAATAAAGATGCCTCTTGAGTATAAACATGATGTAAAATTTACTGTCTGCTAATAGGGTTATTATTAAAGGATCAGGCACTATTATCTCTGCCTTCTTTCTCTCTATCCTGTGCTATTCTCACCAGACCAGGAGATGTCTGGTCTTTTTGGGGAGGAGGAATGTTGTACTGGGACTTGAACTCAGGGCCTGACACTTGCTAGGTAGGTCCTCTACCAATTTAGCCACTCCACCAGCCTTTTTTTAAGATAGGGTCTCATGAACTGTTTGCCAGTGTTGGCTTTGAACTGCAATCCTTCTGATCTCTGCTCCTGAGTAACTAGTATTACAGTGCCTGACCTGTCTGATGTTTTTAAAAGTATATTAGTTCTTTTCTAAATCACCAAGGAAACACATTTTCTTGGCCTCCGTGTGTTCTGCCTCTCGGTGCCAAATTGCCAGTTTCTTTTAGTAGATGTTGTCATTTTCATAGTTGACTTGCCTGACCAGAGTGAACACTGCTAATATTGGCACCCATTTTTAGATGCCTTGAATAATAATGTCAATCTAATCACTAGTGATTTTGATTGAATACAAATATATAACAATAGTGACCATGCTTTATTTTTTTTATTATGATTGATCATAGGCCATTAACCATACATTATTATTAAGGAGTTCTTGTATAAGATTCTTTGTCTACTCTACATTATTCACATTATTAATTTAGCTCCGTGTAGCAACTATCCTAACTCAAGAGTTGAATCTGTGTATATGAATGCTTATTACTGGGGTTTCTTTGAGTCTACCTCCTAAATCCCCTTTGCTATATAGCCTTGATGAGATTCCTCTTTCCTTTCTTCCTGGATTACTTAAAGGTGTTCCTCACTTCTTTGTAACTTAAAAACTTTTTAACTCCTGCTATTTTCTATGCCAGTTCCCTTTCTCTTCCTTCTCCTTACCATTCTCTTGGTAGAATCACTTCCATGAGAACCTCTCTGGTTTTACCTTGTGAATAACTCACAAGGTCAAACTTCAGCCATGCTGCTTCAGTCTGGGAAATGAGCAGTGTGGTCACTGGGGCTATTTTGAACCCAGTTTGTTTTTGTAACTAAAAGAGAACACAGAAAAGAGATAACCTGTATCAGAATATCAAAAGAAAGTGGTGGTGTGGTGGGGGGAAATGTAGGTGAGTTTGGTGTTGATCCTTGGCCTTCCCCTTCCAGCCGAAGGTGGTAAACCCACTGATTGGCCTCCTGGGTGAATATGGAGGGGACAGTGACTATGAAGAAGAAGAGGAAGAGGAACAAACCCCTCCTTTGCAGCCCCGCACAGCACAGCCTCAGCAGCGGGAAGAGCTGTCCAAGAAGGAAAATGAAGAAGATAAACTCACTGACTGGAATAAACTGGCTTGTCTGCTCTGCAGAAGGCAGTTTCCCAATAAAGAAGTTCTAATCAAACATCAGCAGTTGTCAGACCTGCACAAGGTATTAGGGAAAAGGGACTATGACCTTTTAGATTTTGGGCTATTAGTATTGATGGACATTATAGGGAGTAAAGAAGCATACACTGTCCCTTCCTGGCCTATTTCATCCCTAGTTCTTGACACTTAAACTTGAGTCAGTCCAATTCAAGAATAAATTGCTCTTCTATTTTTTATTCATGAGTTGCTATGAATTAAGGCTGTACCCCCTTAAAAGAACTTCAGTGTGGAGACCCAAGGCAAGCAACATGGCTATGGAACCTGATAAAGAAGATATACAGGAGGAGAAGGGGTTATGGATAGGAAGCTCACTTACTGAGTTTCTCATATTAGCTTTGCCATTATCCAAAGAGTTGGACCTCAGATGAACCCCTTCTCTCCTTTGTTACTTGATAGCTTCACTTGGTTCTATCCACTTTGACAGTGTGCAGTTTCCCCCATAGGTGAATCAGATTCTGCTGTCTCTTCATGTAGTAGTTGTTGTTATAAGCCACAAACACAACATCTGTTTTGGGGTATTAAATTTCAGGTCCTCCCCTGTAGTCTTCTCATTTACATGTACTAACCAAGAAGCCAGAGTATAAAGCCTCTAGATCAACTCATGCTCCCAGAGTTTTTTTGACACTCCTCTAGCAGATGTTGCCAGATAAGGTGTGAGGAATCTTGATTTAAATTTTCTCTCAACACAGAACCCAAAGTCTTATGTAGCTAAAAGCTAAGAAACTCTGCTTTTGATAATAGGTATACCACTTTCTCCCAGTCACTCCTGTGGAGGCTCTGTAAAACTTCTAGGAATCTGAGAAGTTCCTCATGACAGTCCTTGGAACAGAATGCCTCCCAAAGTCCCTTTGACCCTTTGGAATTCTGAATCATCAGATTGACATATTTGAATTTCAGCTCTGGTGAAAATGTTAATAAATGGGAAAAGAGGTAAAAGGTAGTTGTCAGAAAGAGAAGCCACAGGTCTCATGAATTCACAAACTGAACTGTCTTAGAACAGCGGACTGTAGACTATAGCAGTTTTCCTTCCTTTAAGTCCTCTGGTACAAAGAACCATCTCTCCATATAAGAGCTATTTTGAACTCCCTATGTTTCACATATATGCTTGAGGATTTGTGTAGTAGAGCCATGCTGTGATGTGTGAGACTCTGAGAAAAATCTGTTCTTGCAGGGCCCTGGTTTCTTTTTCATGTTTCTCTGGACCCTTGAAAGAGTATCTAATATCTAGGGATAATGGATGGTCTAAGTGATAGGCAGAGTATGTAGGCGTGTGATTGTCTTCTCTGATGTGCTCAGATCTCCTCTTCATTATTTTCACCTTAAGAAAGAGATAAGCCAGATTATTTTATCTTCCACATCTTGGAGGAAAGTAGGATGAAGTTCCTTCTTATACCACACCATATAGCCAATCTGTGACAAGTCTGCATTAGAATCTGGATTTCTCATTGATTAGACTAAGGAAAGACCACATAGAGATTGTTGCCTGTACAATGGTCATTTAGGAGAGCTGCTCAGTCCAAAGAGCTATAGTCATAAAGTAACTACTGGGAAAATCCTAGAGGCATTTCTAGCACCATTTTTTTTTTTTTTATAGACCTAAACTTACAGAATTTCTTCTTTTTCCAGCAAAATCTGGAAATCCATCGGAAGATAAAACAGTCTGAGCAGGAGCTAGCCTATCTGGAGAGGAGAGAACGGGAGGTAAATTTTGGTTTTCTATTACTCCCTTGACCCCACATTTTTTTGCTGTCTGGTGTACACGTTATAAGCTATATTGATCATTCCTTCCTTATAAGAAGACAGAGAACAAAGAGGTCCCAAACCATAATGTATACATTTATTAAAGTTCTTCAATAAAATGGATGCATTTTATTGCCTTAATTGATATTTTTTTAAAAGGTGGTGTTTGGTTTTCCAGTAGGTAAAATGAATAGCATTCCCTTTTCCTATTCAGCTTTTAAATCATTTGATAAAATGAAAGGAATGTTTTATAGGGCTACTGAAATAGCATCTTTTGCTGTTGAAGTCTTAAGTTGGAGGAAGTAGTTTAGTGTGAAAGACTACCTAGACTGCATAGTTTGGCTGACTCACTGCCCCAGTCATAGAATCCTGAAGTAGTTCTTATGTAATGGTTAAGATTCCCATTACTTGGAAGGCTGAAGTAGGAGGATTATGAGTTCAAGGCCAGCCTGGGCTATGTAGCAATTCTGAATCAAAAAAAATAGGCGGGGGTGGGGTGGGGCAGGTACTAGCAGAGTGGCTCGAGTGGTAGAGTACCTGCCTAGCAAGTGTGAGGTTCTGAGTTCAAACTTGCCAGAGAAAAAAGAAAAAAGAATCCACTACCTATAGGGATCACCTGCTTCTCAGAAAGGGAAAAGGTAGCTGAGCCAAGTATGTCAGCTTATTGTTTAAAATTTACTGGTCAGAGAAGTCACTGCTTTCTCTAAAAGCATGTAAAGAAAATTACTAGTTGAGTTACCCTTAATATAAAAAAAAAAAAAAAATCAATGCAGGAACTGAAGCAGGAGGATCATTTGGGCCCAGCCTGGGAACATAGCAAAACCTTGTATCCAAAAAAAAAAAAAAAATTAGGAGTGGGTTAGTGCCTATCCATTCCATTGCCCAGCCCCATCAGTCAGAAAGCTCAGGTCTTCTCTTTTGCTCACCAACAGGGAAGGTTTAAAGAAAGAGGAAATGATCGCAGGGAAAAGCTCCAATCTTTTGACTCTCCAGAAAGGAAACGGATTAAATACTCCAGAGAAACTGACAGGTATGACAGAATCTCTTCTCTCATCTACAGCCTCAAGACTTGGTGAAATCATCTTCTCCAAATGTGCTGCTATTTTCTTTTTCAGGGATGTGAGGTTATCAGAAGCCAGTTTTGTCTGAACTCCATGAGCATGAGATCTACCCTGGCCTTTTTACCACTTGTCTGCACTGAAAATGTGTGTGTTTATATGGACAGTTGGCTGACCAAAATGTTTCAGCTGCTGAAAATCAGGGCTGGGCTCACTATAATCAGGAATAATTCTCACTAGTAATGATACACCCTCCTTATGGGCCTGATAAGAATGTCACATTTTGGGGCTTTTTCTTTAGGGAATCTCCATTCCTCCATTCTTTTTTTTTTTTTTTTTGCTGCACTGAAGTTTGAACTCAGGTCCTCACACTTGCTAGGCAGGTGCTCTTACCACTTGAGCCACTCTACCAGCCCTTTTTGTGATGATTTTTTTCAAGATAGGATCTCCCAAACTATTTACCAAGGGTTGTCTTTGAACCATGATTCTCCTGATCTTTGCCTCCTGACTAGCTAGGATTTACAGGAGTGAGCCACCAGCACCTGGCAGGACTCTCCATTCTTACACATAGGTGCTGGATAAGTGGTTGGCTGCTGCTAGAAATACATGATTTCAAGCTTCCTCTACTTGTTTCCGGTCAGCCCAGAGTAACGATCTATTGATAACTCATAGTGTATTGCAATGTGCTAAGTGCAAGGAATACTCAGGCAGACAAAGTCCTGTTATCCTTGACTGCATGTACACAGAATAGAGAATGCTTAGGTGATGATGTGTCTTGCAAGGCAGACGTAGAAATCCAGTGAGAAAGGGGAAGACATTTCAGATGGAGGGAACTACATACAAACAGGGATTAAAAAAAAAAGCTCATGATGCATTTGAGGAGTTACAAGTAGTTTGATGGAGCTAAAAGTTAGGGGTATGATGAATGGCAGGAAATAAGGTCCAACATTTAGTGGCCAGTTCATAAAGTTTGTATGCCTTGAGGACTATGCTAAAGCATTTTCTTAAAGGCAGAAGAGGATGATGGAATGATTTTAAGCAGGATATTGATCTAGTGTTGCATTTTAGAGATTGCTAACCATATGGAAAATAAGTTTGTACAGAGAGCAATGATGCAACTTGTATTGTGACTCAGGTAAGGGTTCATGATGTTCTGAGAGCAGACTGTGAGTGTGAAAAGGGTTGCTGGGGAAGTGGGAAAAGTCACCTTTGATGCTCCATTGTCTACTGGGTGCCTGTGAGGAGAAAGAATAGTTAAGACCTTGCAAGAAAAGGGGTGTGGGGGGGCGGAGCATGACAAGAAATTACATGAGCAGGAGGAGGAGAGTGATTGTTTATAACAAGAGAGATTTGAGCACGTCTTACTGGAAAACTAAAAAGCAAGTAGCCAGAGAAAGTTGCACCTATAAAAAAAAAAAGGAAGATGATTGATTGAAAGAGCAAGCCCTTGAAGGGGCCAACCAGCTTAATTTGACCACAGCCCACAATAAGAGATGTATTTTTGTGTTATGGCCCAATAATCAAATATGTGTATGCAACTGAAGAAGTCTTCATGTTAAAAACTTCTCTGTGTGCAGTGAACTCTGAGTTTTCTATTCCATTTTGTTTTCATTTTTAAGAAGTGTTAGGGGATGTGAGGGCAATCTGGCTACAGCATCTGTCACCCCATTGATCACCAGTGTTGATTTGGCTGATCTGGCTGGCTAGGTGGGTGTCATCCCCTTCCTCCCTCACTGCTCCATGTGAGTCCCTCCCAAAGCTGCACGCTTGGTTGAAGGAGAGGATCATCTCTGATAGAGGAGGACCGTTCTTCCGTCAAGGGTATACGAGTAGCTGCACTTCTCTGCTAAAATCTCCCAACAAGCTCTCAAGAAGTGTTAGGGTTAGACTACTTAATTAGCGTGACATCCCATTGAGTCATTCTCTACAATTTGAAATACAGCGGGCTGTGATAGTACACACCTGTAATTCCAGCACTTGAGAGGCTCAGGCAGGAAGATTGGAGTTCAAGGCCAGCCTAGTCTACATAGTAAGACCTTGTCTCAAAAATCTAAAAGAGAAAGAAAGAAAATGGACTAAGAGGAGGAGTCAGCCACAAAGAGGGAAGGACACTATCCCTGACTCAGTTGGGATAAGGCAATGGTGGAAGCAAGAAGAGACCATTCTCTATCCTCAGTACCCTTTATCCTGGCTCTCCTCCTTTTCAGTCTTCTTTCCTGCTCCTCTTCCTTTTCTGGGTAAGTCCAAGTGTTCTCTTGGACCCCCTCCCCGTGCTCTTCCCCCCACCCCCCACTCTCTTGACTTGAGCTCTCTAAGGTACTAAGGCCTTCAGTCACCACTAACAAATCTTGTAGCTCCATCCCAAGTCAGTTTTGTTTTCTGAGCTCAAAATCTCTATTTCCATTTGCCTCCTGGCATGTCTTCTCAGATACTTCCTAGGTTCCTCATACTGAATAATTGCTCATTTCATTTCACATTATACCCCACTCCAATCCTGTTAAACCTTCTGAATTATTTTAGAGTAGCAGCTTTATAGTCTTCCTTGTCCAGCCCTTCTCCTTTATCCCCTATATCCAGCTAGTAGCCAAATCCCTAATTAAGTCCTCTTCCCTCCTGCATTCTAGCTCACCTCCAAACTGGACTCTTCACTCTTCTGTTCTCCAACCCATTCTCTTCCCTATCACCAGAATGACCTTTATAAACAGGTGTATGTTTATTGTTTCTTTGTTACTGGTTTTGGTAATACTAGAGTTTGAACTCAGGGCTTTGCACTTGCTTAATGCTTGCTAGGCTGGTGCTCTTCCACCACATCTCCAGCCCTAAACAAGTCTTTAAAAAAAAGTAAAAGTGATAATAAAATTTATTAAGAAAGTAATATACTTTCAGTAGGCTGAAAGAAAGTCATCTCTAGAGTGAGAACAAGAACAACCCTAAATAAGCTAAATAGGTCTTTTAAAACTTGTCTTTTTGTGGACTGAGAGTATACCTTGATGGTAGAGTGCTTCCCTGGCATGCTGAGGCCCTGGGTTTGATCCCCAGTACTGTTTTAAAAAAAAAAAAAAAAATCCTCACCTTTTGGTGAATCTATGCAGGAGACCTACCTTCCCAAGATTTTCTCCTGGATAAATTGTTTGTCTTCCTTTCCTTCACACTTTTTTAGCTCACAGACCCCTCATTTATCAAGACCAATTCACATTCCTGTTAAATTCCTTTCAATTTGGATGATGAGCCTTCAGAATTTGTGTTCCCTACATTGTGTTTCTGTAGCACATATCCACTGTTGTCACATTCATGGTTGAACTTTTCAGATGTTCTTTAAGTATCTATTGATACAATTCTTCTGTTCTTTCCCATGAACAGAGCCAAATCTTGGTCATCTCTGTAACCCTAGGACAAGTCTAAGAAGAATTGCTTAATATACTTTATAGGAGGCAGATCTGAATTAAGAGAACTGTAGTTTGTTAGGCTAACCATCTGGTCATCTTGAAAGTGATGTTTAAGTTTTTCCTCTTCTCTTACAGTGATCGTAAGCCTGTTGATAAAGAAGACACTGACACTATCAGCAAAGGAGGTTGTGCCCAGCAGGCCACTGGCTGGAGGAAAGGGGCAGGCCTGGGATATGGCCATCCTGGATTGGGTTCATCAGAGGAGGTGAAATGGTTTCTGTCTTGGAGGTTACATGAGTCAGGAATAAACTTGCCTTCCACTCTGTGGCTGAGAATGGCATCCTTGCTTTTCAGCTTGGATTTTTCCACTGTTAGCACTCTGCCAACCTTTTTTTGTGATGAGCTTTTTGAGATAGGATATCTTGAACTATTTCAAACTACAATTGTCAGGGACTGGCTTCGATTTGTAATCCTCCTGATTTCTGCCTTCTGAGTAGCTAGGATTAAAGGCATGAGCCACCTGCACCTGGCTCTTTTTGTTTTTTATTTGGCAATACTGAGAAATGTACTCAGGGCCTTGCACTTGCTAGGCAGGCACTCTACCACTTGAGCCAGGAACCCCTTAATCTTGATCACTGGGTTATAGCTTGGCATGCTAGACCCTTCGTGGTTTGGTTGGTTGTATAAAGAAAACAGTTGGAATGGGTTCATCATACTTTTATGTAAAGAGTAAGCGGTTTTAAAATTAAGTATAATTTGGATTAAAAAAAAAAGGGAAATCATCAATGGAAGATATAAAGGTCAGAGATAGCTATATCTGAGAGAGATTGTCAGATGTCTTTAATAGCCAAAATATGGGGAGCATGAAGTTAGTACTGGTACCCAAGAAGGACTTTGTTCCTCTTATTTCAGGAAGAGCCTTAAAAAATAATTGGAGGAAACTTTGCCCATTTCAGGTTGACTTGTTTCTGCTCTGAAAATGCCAGTAAGATACTGACTTACTTTCCTACAGAGCTTCTCATATTGAGGACTGTATCCTGAAATCTCTATATTCATCTTGGTATTTGTTTAATAATGAAAGATTCTAAATTGATTGTGTGTGTGTGTGTGTGTGTGTGTGTGTGTGTGTGTGTGATTGGAGTTCAAACTCAGAATTTTGTAATTGCAGAGCAGGTACTCAATTACTTAAGCCATGCTTCCAGCCCTTTTTGTTCTGGTATTTTGCCCAGACCAGCCTGATTTTTATCCTCTTATTTTCTGCTTTCCCTCTGTAGCTGGGATGACAAGCACATGCCACTACTCCCAGTTTTTTCTGTTGAGATGAGGGTTCTCCTGAACTTTTTCTTGTTTTGGCAGCACTGAGGGTTGAACTCAGGGACTCTGCTAAGTAAGCACTCTACCACTTAGTGTGAGCCACTCTGCCAGGCCATCTCAACTTTTTGTCTTGCCCAGCCTTGCCTAGAACCATGATCCTCTGGATCTCAGCCTCACCAGTAGGTAGGATTACAGGCACAAGCCACTAACACCCTGTAAAATGCTCATATTTGGTCCAGAAATGCTTGTGGTCAAAATGGATCAGCCCTGAGGCTCATTAATTCACTCTTGGTCCTATTTCACTCTTGGTCTTTGTTTTGCAGACTGAAGGCCGGATGAGGGGACCTGGTGTCGGGGCCTCAGGAAGAACCAGCAAGAGACAGTCCAATGAGACTTACCGAGATGCTGTTAGAAGAGTCATGTTTGCTCGGTATAAAGAACTTGATTAAGAATGGAGACAAGTCCCTCAGGACACACCTCCTTCTTGTTTTGTTTGTCTGTCTCTCCTTTTGTTTTGTTACTGTTCTTGCTGCTAGAACTTTTTTAAATAAACTTTTTTTCAATGTGATTATATTTTGTTGAATTTTTCTTTCAAACATAGGTAGAGCTAATGGTGGAGAGCATAGGGTGGAGCTAATGGTAGGAGAAAGAGAAAACATGGCTGTGAGCCCATATGAGGAGATGCTGAAATGGGTAGCTAATACCATATTTAGCCTGGTAACACTGCCTGCTATCTACACGAGTGGGTGGATGAACATAGATGATGACAATGCTGTCAAACATCTAGATTCATTTCCCTAATCAGTGAAAATAGCATCTCATTTGTTTCTATTTTTTGGTAACTGCTAAGGTGAAACACATTTCCATATGTTGGTTTACTACTTATTAGAGCTTAGAAAGTCTTTTGACTTCTCCATAGTTACCAAGGAGGGGACAGAGCTACAGGACAGCTATTTTCCTCAGTATCCGTTGAGTGCTTGATGTTTCACACTTTGTGATCACCACAAGTTGGCCTCTCCAGCCATCACCCCATCTTTCCTTCTCTCTAGCGCTAAATCTCCACAGAGATACCTAGCCTCTTTCAAATCTTTCTCAATTTCCCCATCAACATCACACATACCATTTTCAAAGTTTGCTTTAAAAATGATCTTTAAAAAAAAAAGTCTTGCTGAGAACTGGTGGATCATACCTATAATCCTAGCTACTTAGGAGGCAGAGATCAGGAGGATTGCAGTTTGATGCCAACCCTAGGCAAATAGTTTGAGAAATCCTGTCTTGAAGAATCTCATCACAAAAAAGGGCTGGTGTAGTGGCTCAAGGTATAGGCTCTGAGTTCAAGCCTCAGTACTGAAAAAATACAGAAACAAGTCTTTGAAATTTAAAGGACAATACAATTTATAAATTGATTACAACTTTTAAAAATATTCTTCAAGTAACATGGTACTAAGAATTAAACTTTGCAGGTGTCTTGGGGAACAGTGTTGGTTAGAAGAACTGAAAGTTTAGAAGGGCATCTTCTTAGTGTAAAGCAGAAGTTTATAAACTTTATGGTAAAGAGCCAGAGATGCAGTATTTTAGGCTATATAGGTAAAATGATCTGTGTTGCAGCTATTTAGCTCTGCTATTGTAGTGAGTGGCCAAAGCAATCTATAAACAAATTATTGTGGCTGATTCAATAAAACTATTTCTTGGCTGGGTGTGGTGGTGGTATTCCAGCATTTGGGAGGCTTTGCAAGGCAGGAGGGGTGAGAGTTTAGGCCAGCCTGGGCTACATAGCAACATCATCTCAAAAACAAAGCAAAAACTTTATTTACAAAAACAAGACAGGTCAAAGTGGCCTGTAGTCATAAGGGCATATAGTTGATATACATAAGGTAGGACCATGGAAAGCTGAATTGTTTTCTGTGAAAAGAAAGGGTAAGGGTGGATTGACTTTGAGTGGATGGGGTAGGGGGGTAATATGGGCAGTTCTATCCTGGTGTGATGATGCACACAGCTTCTTAGGAGGCAAAAACAGGAGGAGCAGGAATTCAAAGCCTGCCCTGGAAAAGTTAGCTACAAGATCCTGTCTCCGAAAACAAAAAGGCTGGGTATGTGACTTAAATTGCCTAGCAAGTGTGAGGCCCTGAGTTCAAACCTCAGTGCTGCCACAAAAAAAAAAAAAAAAAAGGTGCCAGTGGCTCATGCCTGTAATTCTATTGGGAGTCTGAGATCAGGGAGGATCACAGTTCAAGGTCAGCCCAGGCAAATAGTTTGCAAAACCCCATCTTCAAAATAACTAGAGCAAAAAAAATGTGGCTCAAGTAGTAGAACACCTGCTTTGCAAGTATGAAAGCCCTGAGTTCAAACACCAGTCCCACCCACAAAAAAAAAAAATATGTTTGCCATGCTGTGTTTATTGTAATTCCTTTCTCTTGGTGTTTTTTGTTTTTTTGTGGTACTGGGGATCAATCCAGGTCCTTGTGCATGCTACATAAGTACGGTACCACTGAGCTTCATCTCCAGCCCTTGATCTTTTGAGACTAAATGTCTTGCACTTGCCAAATAGGCTCTCTACCACTTGAGCTACAACTCCAGCCCTTAATCTTTGATAAATCTAATAATTCTTCCAAAAGGAAAAGCAAAAATTTCATGAGCACATTAGCTTAGGAATTGAGAGCTGAAGCTTCTGTGACTTGCTCCACTAGTACTGGTTGGGCATCTGACCCAACCCCAGACATGATACTCCAAGAAACCTCTAATAGGTGGTCTTTGGGTGTTTCTGTAGTGCATACTTCGCCACAGACATCCTTTGTATGAATTTGTAAAAATCCCTTTTCAAAGTTGGTCCAGTGTCCTGAATGGGTCAGACTAGGTTTTCCTATAAACCTGTGTCATCGCGCTGGCGCTGGAGTGAGCTGTGGTAGGCTTCAAATGCTTCACAGCTGAAGTTGATAATCCAGTTATCCAGTACAGGTACCATCTAGTTATAAAGTGCTTATCTATGAATGTTTTGAAAGTTTAGTTTAGTTGGCGCTGGTTCTTGCCATAGCAAGACCAGTGTTAGTCTCTGTGCCCATGGTACTCAGTCAACTGGTAAAAATGGATATTGAAAAATTACTGATGAGCATCTTAAGGGAGAAGTATACTAAATTATTGGGATGGTAGGACACAGACTTGATCCAAGTTTGGTAGAAAAACTATTTCCCTGAAGGAAAATAGTTAAGCTCAGACCTCAGAGACTAGTTTAGTATAGGCCAAAGTTCATGCATAAATTTTTTTTTTCCTTCTAAAGTAGTAGTTCCAAGCCTAGGACCAAAACATGTGAACGAGTCTTATTTTCCTAAGTGTTGGGAGACTTTTTTTTTTTTAAGAGATCAGTTTTGGAAAATGGTTGCTTTTTAATGATCATTTCATTAAAGATCATTTTATATTTAAAATCCCAACAGTAATTCAAAACAAAACAAAGAGTCAAACTTGCTCCCTATAAAGGAGTGCTGTAAGGTGGTGGAAGGCAGTGATAGGGTCCCATGGGGGACAAGGGGGGCCTTGGCGCTCAGTATCGGGACTGGTAGCATCCCCCACCAACATGAAATCGGGAGGCCCTCAGAGCACTGGGTGTGGCTGCTGGTGTCCCCCTCCCCCATGGGGGGCTGACATGAAATCAGAGACCCTCAGAGCAACTTGAGCACTTCTTGGCCGTATATAGTACCTCCAATACTTGTCGTGTGGAGAACCAGGCAGGGTGGGCTGAGCAAGTCTGCTGTCCCATGGGGTCAGACTTCAACCTGTAGACCAGATCTCCCTCCTCCTTGAGGTAATACTGGAGAAACATGACCACACTCTGGCCGAAAGCTCTGGCTCTCTCTTTTTCTTTTTTTTTTTTTTTTTTTTTTTTTTTGGTGGGACTTTAGTTTGAACTCAGGGCTTCATGCTT